AAAAAATTGTACTCTGATGTCTCACTGATTGAGGAATGATGAAATGTTTGTTTTAAAAGAAAATAAAACTTTTGAAATCTAAAAAAAAAAATGTTTCATTTAGCAACGGAAATTTTGGGCTCAGTTGTGGTTGTAACTCAGGGGCTACCTGTAGTAGATCTCTACTTCCAAAGTCTTGAGGGACCTTCCTTGGAAGCATTTAAATCTGGATAGGTACAGGTCTAAAACTGCCTTCAAGGAATGAGCCTAACAGTCTGAATAGAATAGAATAATAGAGTTGGAAGGGACCTTGGAGGTCTTCTAGTCCAACCCCTTGCTTAAGCAGGAAACTGGTTATCCAACATCTTCTTAAAAACTTCCAGTGTTGGAGCATTTACAACTTCTGGAGGCAAGTTGTTCCACGGATTAATTGTTCTCACTGTCAGGAAATTTCTCCTTAGTGCTAAGTTGCTTTTCTCCTTGATTAGTTTCCCTCCATTCCTTCTTGTCCTGCCCTCAGGTGCTTTGGAGAATAGCTTGACCTCCTCTTCTTTGTAGCGGCCCCTCAAATATTGGAACACTGCCATCATGTCACCCCTAGTCCTTCTTTTCATCAAACTAGAAATACTCAATTCCAGCAACTGTTCTTTATATGTTTTAGCAGGACAGAAATGGGTGAGGTGAAACAAAAGGGGAAATCTTTTCATCTTTCTCTTCAGGAGCCAAAGTATTGTTGCCAGAGCAAAGGAAAGATTAGAATCCAAAAAGCCATTTCTTAAACTGGCTTTATTTGCAGCCACGTTAGGCATGGGAGACAAATAGTTGGCGAGGGCAATGCATAAACCCCCACTACTTTCTGAAGGAACTGGCCTAATATGCAAATATATGTAAATTAACTTGTAGAATGTTTTAAATTTATAATAGCTTGCACTTGAGAAACAGGTCGCTTTGTCACCATCTGGAATGGGCATCATGCCACTCTTTCTGGTATTAGAAATGGCATATATTAATCTAGTCAATAATTAACCTAACAATCAGAAACAGTAGCAGTAGCAGAGAGCTTACCTCATTCATCTCTACGTCTTTCTCCTTCCCTTGGTTTTCTAGGGGTTTTTCCAGATCTAAGATTGAAAGATATTAGCAATTTCAACAGAACAATATATAGCAACTCACTCTGACTTGTTGCAGATCTGATCAGGGGTGGGCTTCAAAAATTTCAAAAACGGGTTGTCTGACTGGTCACTGGGTGGGCGTGGCCATAGTGGGCGTGGCCTAGTCGGCCTTCTGCACCAGGGGGGGAGGAGTGTTTTCGCCTTCCCCAGGCTCTGGAGGCTTTCCTCAAGATTCTGAGAGGGTGAAAACTGCTTCCCCCAGGCTCCAGTGGCCCTTCGGAGGCTGGAAATGGGCTCATTTCTGGTCTTTCAGAACTTCTGAGAGGCCCGTTTTCCCCCTTCCCCGAGCCTCCGTGCGGACCCTGCACTTATCTCGCATCCGAAACAGGCCGCGTGGAGAATCCTGGGAGGAGCGAGGTGGGAGGGGTGGGGCATGGGGGAGGGATTTGGAGATTCTCTGAACCAGCCGTAACATTAGCTACAGGTTCTCCCGAAACAGGACGAACCTGTAGCAGCCCATCCCTGGATCTGGTCAATAACTATTTTCCCAGACATCTATTCTGAAAAGATGGACTGGGATAACTCACTGTGTCCAATTCCAATTCACTATGGGCACCTCACTGGAGGCCAAGTTCCCATGGCCAACTCATCGCGGGATAACTCACCGGCAAATATTTTAAAAATATTTTAATTTTCATCGTTCACCTTTAATTTTCTCCCTCCTTTGGCATCTTTTCTTTAATGACTATGTTCCAACATTTCTTCGACATTAGTGTAACTCTTGGCAAGTTGTCCTAGCCCAACTTCATTGGACTTCAGTCATCATATCATGTCACAAGGTCGTTTTGCTTAGTTTTGGCTTAGTTCAATATGGGAATCCTAACATTCAGTTACTCTGTGTACTACCTGCTGCTGGCGTCTCACCATAGAAACATGGGGGTTGGGGAGTGGGGGCTGTGGAATGGGACAGCAGGGTTACCATGGGTTACCCTAAGGAAAGGAAACCATCCTGTGAGAATAGCCACCTGTTTCAAGGTCAGCAAAGGAATCAGCCACCTGTAAAGACAGGGACTATTTCCCAAAACAATTTGTAATACCTAATTACACACTTCTTGATAAATGGTGTTGGGGATGTGTAGAAGGGAACAGGGAAAACTTTGGGTGATAAACCTCAGATCTAGCTTCGCTTCTTCTGTAACCACTAGCAATTATGTCAGGGTAATGATGATTTAATAGCTGATCAGCTGCTGTAATACTGTAATGCTATAATGATGATACAATGGTAGGGATGAATCAGTAAGGTTATTTGACTGTTACCACTTTAAGAGTCTGTATTATAAGAGAGGCCCTGTTGGGGTGTAACTCTCTCTCCACGTGTGCTTCTGTGCTATAATTGACTGCTGTTTGTTTGAGGTTAGACTAAAAGTACATGTATGTATATATGCTTTGTGGATAAAACCGCTATTTGAATACAAATCTCTGTGTAATGTATTTGCTCCTGGGTTGTCTCATAGTCACAGTGTGCATACACTAACAAATTATTGCAAGAGTTGAATATGCCATAAACTAAGCAAGAATGCCTAGATCAGGGGTGTCAAACTCGATTTCATTGAGGGCTGCATCAGGGTTATATTTGATCTTGGGGTGCTTGTACCTAAATCAGCTTGTACCAATCTCTCCAAAGCAGCGTTTCTCCACCTTGGCAACTTGAAGATATGTGAACTTCCAACCCCCACAATTCATACAGTGTTTTTTGCGCAGTATTTCTCAACTTAGATGAGAATGATGGCTGGGAAATTCTGGAAGTTGAAGTCCACACATCTTCAAGTTGCAAAGATTGGGAAGCACTGTTCTAAAGGTTGTCACCAAATTGCCATTTTTAAGGTGACCTAACTTTTAAAATATCCTAAAAAATATGAGAACAAATCAGAATTACTTAGGAAATCTTAATTAATTTTCTATTCTATCAAATACAGTTTGATAGATACACCCACTTTAGAATGCAACCTCCAGCATACATCTTAAAGGCCAGTTGTATCAGTTGGTCCCAAAGACGTTCTGTCTCAAATAAACAAAATCAGCAGTTTATTCATCAGGTGTGTTATAATCAGAATAGAAAAAGTGGTACAGAGTTTGAAGGCTCTTTACTTCAGCCAGTAAAATAAGAAACAGTTGTGGACCTCATAATACTGATTGTTAACAATGCACAGATTTGCACTGTCCTAAGCACTACCAGGGAAATGAAAAATGAGAAAAACTCCTTTATTACAGTGATAGACCAGAAAAAGGGGGAGAAAAACAGAAGTTTAAATACTGTACTCACCAAATGAATTCTGAATCACTTGTGATTTTGGCTCCTTTGCACTTTTACTAGGGCTTAAAAGGAAGACAGAAAAAATATCTGATGTTTATAATATTAACACAAACAAGAAAAACCTAGTATTGTGCTAAATCAGATATTTACTTTGATTGCTGGAACATGTAGGATAAAGTATGGCAAAATCAAATAATTTTAGAATCTGGGGGTGCCTTAAGGATCATCTCACCCAAACCCTGGTTTGCCCCCCAAAATAAAAGAAATCTTCCCTGTAAGGCACGGGTGTCAATCTTGCCACATCATGTTGCTGTCACATGATGTTTCACAATCTTTTCCCCCTTCGCGGAGCTGGCGTGGGCGTGGCCTGCACGTGACGCATCCGGCCCATGGGCAGTCAGTTTGACACCCCTGCTATAGGGAAATTGATTGACGTGCCCTACCTATAGCTCACTTGGAGGCTTTCATCCAGGGGTGGGTTCCGGCAGTCACTACTGCCGGTTTGCTTGTGGGCGCGCTGTGCACGCTTGATGCGTGCTATGCATGCATACGTAGTACAATAAAAATTGTTCTGCGCATGGGCAGAAGCAAAAAAACAAGATGGTGGTGCTTATGGCACCACCCAGACAACCAGTTTGGGGCCGTGGCAGCAGGGGTGGGTTCTGGCTTGTGTTACTGCCGGTTTGCTCAGGGACGTGTTACATGTGTATTATGCACGCATGCATAGTAGTAAAAAAAATGCTTCTGTGCATGTGCAGAAGCAAATACCAAGATGGCGGCATCTATGGTGCCTCCGATAGAACCAGTTCAGGGGCGTGGCCAGCCGAGTTACTTCCTACTTGGCCAAACCAGTCTGAACCAGTAGGAACCTACCTCTGCATGGCAGGTCTGGGTTGCTGCCAGTTCCAGCAACCCACGCCGCCAAACCACTACCAATTCGGCCGAACCGGTTCGAACCAGTCCGAACCCACCACTGCTTTCATCCCTTTCTAATGATATCACCTTTCTGAAGGCTTATTCTATTTATCTTGTGAGAAGTTATCATCCAGCCCTCTCCCAGAAAAATGAAATATCCTAGGAAATATTGAAAAGGCAGAATATTTCTCTGGATGTGAAAAGATAGAAACATGCTTTAAAAGACAGAATAGTTGCCTGTTGCTTCCTGCCCATCCACACTTTGTCAATAGGCCATTGAGAAGGCCAGGCT